GTTTTTAACGTCAGACAGCAACAATTTTGTCCAGATGAAAAGGCTCCATTCATCAAGCATCAACGTCTACTTGTTTCTTTTCATTGTAATCATGGGAACAATACAAACACAACATTTCCCTCGGTAATGAAAACAATTCAAATTGTCAAGAGCTTTGTCGGCTTTCGTATGCAAAGATATACATTTGCATAGACTCACCCTCTTCTGTGTGACTGCAGTCGCTTTTCTTCTTTCTTTTCTGAGCTCTCCGACAGCCTGGCGATAAAGTTTCTTCAAATCGTCTCAAAGTATCCCAAATCCGCGCCTGAAAAAAGTACATATGTTGTGAGCAACATACAAACTATATCGATGTACTTCTAAGTAGAAATAATAAACTATGATATTAATCAGTAAAAAAATAGTGTACACTTCTTGCCAAAATAAATATTTCTGCCGTAGGCACAACTTAGCCAAGGTTTTTAAACAACATGTTTAAGATATATGTAACGATAGTGCCGTATATATAATAGTATCCTTGTTTTAGCTTACCCTTCCTCCTGTCGGTTTGCTGGTTCGTTGCGGTGTTGTCCTTTCAATGTAGTAGAGTCATTTCTTCCGTTGCGAAAACGAAGTAACAGAACGGAATGTTTGACGCCATTTAGTTCAGGAACATACTAGTAATCTTTGCAAGCCGAGACAAACGTGTTTTGAAAAAGCAAACCGTCGTTGTGACAAAGCAAGATTCAAACGACCCACCAAAACAAAGCATCGCGGCTCTTATTGGCTGGTCCCGGCGAGAGAGAGGTAGGATTGGTCGTCAGTCATATAATCACGTGATCGCGTTCAATACTACAACAATCTTGTTTTTATATTATAGGTTTTAAGTTAAATCGCCTGTGCAGTCTGAACATTTGGATGTTTCTGATTGTGTGAATGTATTTATTTCAAGGCAGACAAATGATCTTCATAATTCTAATTCGTCATGATTACATGGCTTTATTCGTTCTAGAATTACACAACTTGTCGCTCACTAAGTGAAATAAAACCGCACTTCAACTCCAACATAACCTTACTCTTTGTAAATGTATCCAAAATCCACAATTAATGTCATGAGGGTTGACTTGTTTTGCTGGATTTCAGTATTTTACCAGGCATGGGGACGCTGTGAGTTCTCCCTTTGTTTACACAAAGGCTATTCACATAAACGGACGCCATGTCAGACACATCGCAATACACATCGACCGAACTACAATGTAAAGCTTGCATATTATTACCCATACATGTACCTAAAAATCATAACAAACTGATCAGGTCATGTTAGTTCAAACCCCTTTAGTCAAGCGTTTGATTACATCATGGTAATGAACCTCACGGATAAACTATTATTTCCAAAATAAAAAATTCAGATTTAGACCGGAGTGTAGATTTAGGTCATTTTGACCGAGTAGGTCATATAACCCCAGCGTCGGGGCGCCCTACGCTCAAATGTGCTTTGTCGTATGGACGACATAACGATAAATCAAGCCAAGGACGCATAGGTTCAAATGTTGTATTAACAATCCTTGATCATTCTATATCTAATTTGCTTAGATTAAAGTGCTGGCAACTTTGGTTCAAGTAATTATCACCTGAAACATGAATACACGCAGTACCTAATTACCCCTTATTGTTAGCCGCTCCCCAACACACGCCAAGTGTGCGGGGCGTAAATTTCCGTGCACGTGCACGGCGAGCACGAATCCGGGAGTGTAAGGAAATATCCGGGGCCGTACACGCGGAGCCCGGAAATCCATGGACGCGACCAGGACACGGCGAATTTCACGGGCGTGTGCGGGACTGGAAACTCTTGGAAACGTGGTTTTTCAAGCAGTGGAACGGTCTTGGGCTGACGGCAGTTTGCCTCGGGATGGACAGTAGAGATACGGCGGGCATCCTCGCTGGGAAGTTCCAGTTTGTATTCACCTCCCCCGAGACTATCCTCGGCGATGAAAAATTCTGTTAGAAATCGGGTCATGCCAAATAAGGCAAGCTCATGTATATTGATATTCCTTGGGTCGCAGAGTACAAAAGGCGGGCTTATTCCGCAGGGGTAGGGGTGGAGAAGGAACTCGGAGCCGCTGACCCTGCCATGGGAGGATGGCGAAAATTTGACAGTAACAGACGATGTATGAAAAAAAAACTCACTCTTTTGGCCAAACTCTTTTTCCTTCCTGGAAACTATGAATTTGGACAAAGTTTCCTCCTCGTGTAGTGATAAAGCCGCGTTGAGGGCCTCCAGAGAGCTGAAAACACGGCTTTCCCCACGTGATTCAGAAGCGGCCGCCGACTGATCGGCCATGATTGTGGTATCGCCTGCGTCGTACCCAGGGTAGTGTTACTAAGGACCCTGGGTACGGGGATGACTTATGACGTCACTTGCGCCTCTACCCGGCTCACCCTTAGACCTTTGTGAAAAAGTATCTCCCTTGTTGCCTTGTTCACCCTAATAACAAAAATGAAAAAAAATTATACAGATTAAGCGTTAAAATTAAAGCTGTCAATGATAAAATTGGATTTGTAGAAAACAAAGTTTAAAGAGACAGAACTTTACCAAGCTTTACAATTTCAACCTAATATATTACAACGTAACCCAACATAATTCTCGCATTTGAATAAACTTGCTACTGTAACGTTTAAAATCATAATTTGTGATATCTTACAATCACTCAATCACTCACACCATCGATATCATATTAAAACATCGATATCATATTAAAACATTTATATCACTTCTACAAATAATGGGGACAACTGACTCCATTCGCTAAGTTGGAAAGAGAGTCGGCAGTATACAGGCTTTTCACATCCACCATGTTGGATTACAGTGAATGTCTGTTAAACATGCCAACATGCTGCTACTTAATCAACTTACCCGCACACACATGGTCATCGAGATTCATATGATAATTATTATAGCGTCAATGAAAAGCCTCTATAGGTTTGGTCACCAGGATTCTCCATTCACTGTTTTTACAAATCAGTTCTACGCTTTTCTAGGCTGGTTATTTATGCCTTATGTGATTCTTTACAATATAATTAACATTTCTATATAATTTCATGTAATCTTAAAAGGCCACTTTGCCTGATGCAAATCGACGTACATGTAAAGTGGCAACGGTCGACCGTATATTTGATTTCGCCCCCCTCCCCCTTTAATTTCACGATATTCACATCCCGAAAATGTCTACAAATCATCATCCTACTGCGGTTCTTCTTCAACAGAAATGGTCTTAAACTATTCCCCTCAACACTAGGATACCTTTGTTTTCGTTTCTAAGCCTTACTTGCTTCCTATGATGGTTTTTCTCTTCACGTAAACCGGGACTCGGGCAGTTTTGTCTTCCTGTCGTCATGTGAGGTCAAAGGTGATCGCAATGTGGGTCAAAGGTGAAATTGCAGGCCTGATTACCCATGTACTACATTTGACGTCAGGTGGTACGTCACGCTTTCCTCATAATGTAGACGTTTTACACTTCAAGCAGACCACCGAGACAACCTAACATCGTACCTGGCATAAGTTTCTGGTGTATATGAATATTATATGAAGTAATGATTTTAAAAATTACACTTTTACGGTCTGAATCTTGATTTCTATATTTTGTGAGCAATTAGCAAATTCCTCCAAAGAAAAAACGCAAGATATAAGAAAGCATTATGTTAAAGACATTAAACGATTTAAATATTTGACTGAAAAAAAGTAAATATACCTTTAAAAAAACAGCAACTTTTACTCATATACAACATAACGTCTACGCTTGTACAGCTGTAAAATTACTTCCTAGTTGGAAACTGATGCACATCAGTCGATTTACACTGGTGCAAATCAGTGAAAAGATTTAACTATGAACCAAACGCTAGTTTTCTGGGTTTATATTATCAGTCGAAAGATATTATTGTGTCTGTAGGACATACAGGCAAGCACTTAGACAAAGTGAAATATTAACAGGAAATAGAAGCTCCTTCAATGGCTTCATTCTTACAAACTCAATTTACTTAACGTCTACGTTTCAACTACTGTGTACTATCACTTACCGTTGTTAATTACTATATAAGTACATAACTAGTATCCAATCAATACCATCAAGGTTACTGCTCTAAAACTACAATTCTAGAAATGTAAAGAAAGCTCGGACGGTGCAATGTTCAAAATAATTGACATTTAACGGTTGACTAAGAATTAGTCAGTAATTAGAGATGTTGTGGATAAAGTATATGACTATGACATTTCCTCAGAAAACATTTGTTCCAGGACAAAATTTTGACATCTATCAATGAAATTTTATCCATTTTTACAGAATATTAAGCCTACATAATATATTTACATACAGGTACCTAAGCTTTGTATCCATAGATAGAAACTATTATTAAGATTATGCGCACTAAGTTGCTTGTAGCAACTGACAATGCTTTATCACACCATATTCACCGTATAACTACATGTTGTTTAACTAAGTTCTTTAACAGAGACAAATTTTGACGGTAAACAAACGGTGTCCTGCCATGTTACTATTGTCTCAACACTACACTGTCGCATTTACTCACGGCTTCTAGCTCTAATCAACAGACTACGGAGTATGCATCAATGTGATACATGTATAAAATAGCTGCTATTGTTCACTTGTAAGGAGTGCATTACACACCATTCGAAGTGGAATCATGTAAGGAGTGCATTACACACCATTCGAAGTAAAAAGAGACAGAGTTGGAAACTAACAATAAAGTTTGAAATCAATAAAGAAATAACGCATAACGTGTCTGAATTTATTGTTGAAATTATCATGTTGCATGTGCTGATTTGCATAGGGGCAAATTACACAACATCCCAATGAAAAAGATAAATACATAAGCTTAAGACAGCACATTATGTATTTTGATTTATTAGCGAAACTGGAATGCAGAAAGTTGACAAATCTCTAACAGCTATATATGTAGTAGCAGGACAAAAAACAAAAAAAAAATTATCAACATTCTAGTGCATTTAGAACTAACATATATGCTGCTAACTAACTCTAAATTTTATATTGTAAGGATCTAGTATACTGTGGTTAGTTAAAAGCAGATCAAAGAAAACTAGTTAATAAAGTGCTATAACAGACGGACAATGGACAACGATACCACTATTGTCTAAACACTCGCATTCTACACACAACTTCTAGTCCAAATGAACGAGCTACGGAGCATGCATTCGTAATTTTACAACAGAGTCATGAAGAAAGTACACTACTAAAGCAAAACAGTAAATAAGAGATCACATTGCTAAAAGAGCTCTCCAAACCTCGCTACTCACTCAAATGTTATCACATAATAGTAATCCTGACATGGACACTGAAATGCTTGTTTGAGAATGCGTGTCTACTTGGCACGTTACATAATTTCCAAAAGATTTTGATACAGTGTTCAACTGTTTTGCAACATTTGTTTTGTCTGAGTCTGCATGCGTGACTTCAGAATAAGCATCCCTTTAAACTGCTTTAACATTCCTCACATCCGTACGTTTTTTTCTCACCAGTATGAGTGTGCATGTGTTGTTTCAGATGGCCCATCCTGCTGAACTGTCTGCTGCACTAGTACTCCTCACATCGGTTTCTCACCAGGGTGAGTTCGAAGGTGCCTATTAAGAGCGAATGTAAGGATTAAACAATGGTGGCAGGGGTCAAAAAATAGATTTGGCTCAAACTTTGCACAGTGATAGTACTTGGCCCACAACCCCTCAAAATAGCTTTCTTTCCAGTCAGCACCGATCGTTGCCATGGTAACGGGCCAAACAAGTTTCGGGGCCATTTCCCCTGATTTAGACATGTGAAAAACATGAAATTTGGCATAGTTTAAGGCACGATTACGAGCAAGTGCTTTAATATTATGGAAAAACAAAGTATGGGCATAAAAGACCAACTAATCTGCTATTCTAGAATAGCTTTGGAATTTTCAAGAAGTTCGTTTAAAGGACCTGGGCAACCCTAACACAATACATGTTTGAGGCTTATGAAAAAGCGTTATTTCTACCCAACTTCGAAGTGCTGTAAGTCCAAAGATGGTGATTTTTTTTGCTTCAATTTTGAATCATAGATACATAAACATATGTGCTATGAAATGCATGGTTGCAAACGTTGGGCACTTCTTTGGTTGTCACGTGGTTGTCCTTAGAAGTAGGTCAAATTTTGAATTTGAGGGAAAATATGATTTTCAGCCATGTTCAGGATACTATATCTACAAAAGAAAGAAAGCAATCTGGTAAAGTCTTTTGCCCAAAGTAACACTATGTCTTGTCTATTAAATGAATACTTGTGGAGGTTGGGATCTTGTGTCGTTGGTGTGCACTTGTCCCTCAAAGTAGGCCATGTTTTGGACATTTACAGAAATTGACATATACGGCTATGTTTGAAACTCTAGAAATAACAAAGTAGGATGTCATTTGAATTCAATCTTTGCAGGGAAGTACAAATATGTATTGTGTATCAAATGAATACTTAGGGAAGTTGGGGTCTTGTGTCGTTGGTGTGCACTTGTCCCTCAAAGTAGGCCATGTTTTGGACATTTACAGAAATTGACATATACGGCTATGTTTGAAACTCTAGAAAGAACAAAGTAGGATGTCATTTGAATTTAATCTTTGCGGGGAAGTACATATATGTATTGTGTATCAAATGAATACTTAGGGAAGTTGGGGTCTTGTGTCGTTGGTGTGCACTTGTCCCTCAAAGTAGGCCATGTTTTGGACATGTACAGAAATTGACATATACGGCTATGTTTGAAACTCCAGAAATAACAAAATGGTATGTCATTTGAATTCAATCTTTGCAGAGAAGTACATATATGCATAGTGTATCAAAAGAATACTTGGGGAAGTTGGGGTCTTGTGTCGTTGGTGTGCACTTGTCCCTAAATGTAGGCCATATTTTGGACATGTACAGAAATTGACATATACGGCTATGTTTGAAGGTCTAGAAATAACAAAGTTAGATGCTATTTGAATTCAATATTTGCGGGGAAGTACATATATGTATTGTGTATCAAATGAATACTTATAGAGGTTGGGGTCTTGTGTCGTTGGTGTGTACTTTTCTCTAAAAGTAGGCCATATTTTGGACATCCATACAGAAATTAACAAAAATGGCTAAGTTTGAAGGTATAGAAATGACGAAGTAGGATGCCATTTTAATTCAATCTTTTAAGAGGAGTACATATATGTATTGTGTATCAAATAAGGGCTTGTGGAGGTTGGGGTCTTGTGTCGTTGTTGTATACTTGTCATTAAAAGTAGGCACTATTTTAAACATTTACAGAAATAGGCATATACGACATGAACCAAAAAGGAAGCCCTCAAAATCACCCATGTGATAGCCAATACTATAATAAACACATGGTAGAAGGATGGGTCTAAAAATAAATTCACTTTGGTATTCTCATCAGCTCAAAAACAGCCCAAAATCCAAAATTGGGGACAAGTGCAGAAAATGACCTACTTCGAGGTTGCCCAAAGACTGAAATCTGCCTGTACATCAACTTCACACTTACTTCGTACAAGTTAAGGCATTGGTCTAATAATATCCTGAAGTACTTGTCGTTACGTTAAAGCAGTTGGCGGTGACCGCGTCCTAAACTTTGCCAATTTCCGTGTTGTAGAGACGCAAAAATCTGTCAAAATGGCCCCAAAACTTGAATGGGCTGTTGCCATGGCAACAATGGGTTTTGAGCGGAAAGAAAGCTATTTTAAGGGGTTGTGGGCGAAGTACTATCACTGTGTAAAATATGAGCAAAATCGATTTTTGACCCCGCTCACTATTGTATGATCATTACAGACATTTGCTCTAAAAAATGGCCTACTTTTAGGGACAAGTATACAACAACGACACAAGACCCCAACCTCCACAAGCCCTTATTTAATACACAATACATATATGTACTCCTCTTAAAAGATTGAATTAAAATGGCATCCTACTTCGTCATTTCTAGACCTGCAAACATAGCCGTATATGTCAATTTCTGTATGTATGTCCAAAATATGGCCTACTTTTAGGGACAAGTGCACACCAACGACACAAGACCCCAACTTCCCCAAGTATTCATTTGATACACAATGCATATATGTACTTTCCTGCAAAGATTGAATTTAAATGACATCCTACTTTGCTATTTCTAGAGTTTCAAACATAGCCGTATATGTCAATTTCTGTAAATGTCCAAAATATGGCCTACTTTGAGGGACAAGTGCACACCAACGACACAAGATCCCAACCTCCACAAGTATTCATTTAATAGACAAGACATAGTGTTACTTTGGGCAAAATACTTTACCAGATTGCTTTCTTTCTTTTGTAGATATAGTATCCTGAACATGGCTGAAAATCATATTTTCCCTCAAATTCAAAATTTGACCTACTTCTAAGGACAACCACGTGACAAAAAAAGAAGTGCCCAAAGTTTGCAACCATGCATTTTATAGCACATATGTTTATGTATCTATGATTCAAAATTGAAGCAAAAA